TTGGTTGAGGTTGGTAGCATATAACCCACTTACGAATACATTGAATCATAGCATTGATTGTTCAGTGGGCTGCGTCGGACAAAGTATCTAACCAAACGTCACTCGGTGATGCAAACAAGGTTATGGTGTCCACAATATACTTCCTGGTTAGAGGTATATGAATGAACTGACAAAAGATTACCGGATACGCACTCCTGACGAACGGAAAGGACCGCGAAATCGGTCGTCTGCTTCCAGGAACATTTTGTCCAGACATTCCCATAGTACTTACGATGAAATATTGCATAGAGTCTATCAACTCACGGTTGTGCGGTTGGTAGCCTGTAACCCATCTACGAAAATTTTGATTCACAGCTTTGATTGTTGAATGGACTGACTCTGAAAGAGCTGTCCATCAAAAAGTCATCCGATGATGCCAGCAAAATTATCATTTCGAAAATATACCTCCTGGGTACAACTATGTGGATGAACTGACAACTGATTATCGGATAGGCATGCCCGAAGAGCGGCAACGACCGCGATACCAGTCGTGAGCCTCAATGAACATGTGAAGCTAACCGGAGTTGACGGCCTTCCGGTATATCTTCTTACGAGTCTCAGTATGCGCGCGACCTCCTAGTGTCTCGTTGCCCGAAGTAGACAAAAACACTCGTGGGAGTCGTAGACGTTTATTGGCCAATCGTGGTACTAGATAGTACCGAAACGTGCCAAGGTGACGCTAAACAAAGCAAGCAACAAATGCAGTAGCAGAGCGATAGCGTGGGTTTGAACAGGACCCAGCTTATATATACGCCTGAGCGGAAAACCGTGCTCGGTAAAACAAATAGAAGTAAAACAAAGAAAATATCACAGTTCGAGTCAGAGTTGATTGTGAAGAAAATATGAACGGAAAACGTCCTCGTGGATTGCTCCTTTTCTTCGTACAATCATGGTCACTACACATGGCATGATCCTTGGTAGTACTTCCTTCTCCAGCTTTTGCATTACGGCTTCGGCTATGAATCCAGAAATTGGTGATCCCATTGATGTTCCTTCCAGTTGTTCGTAGATTTGACCCTCGAATTCGAAGAATGCATGCATAGTTCGTAAGTTGCAGCTGGTTCCATTGGTTGGTTTGGTGGGTGCTCAGTTATCAATTCCCAACGTAAATTTCCAATTTCCAACGTAAATCTTGCCAGATCCAAGTCGATGTAAGTGAACAAGGCGGTGACGTCGAACGAGACCATTATTTCGTCTTCTTGAATGTTGGCCGTTTTGAGCTTGTCCAGGAATTGCCTTGAGTTCATGACGCCATACTCGTATCCAGCGATCAGCGGCTTCAGTCGTTTTCCATAACTCCTTTGCTAACTTGTATATAGCTGTTCCTGGAAGAGAGCCGATCGGTCTCAAGGGAATTCTTTCCTTGTGTACCTTCGGCAGTCCGTAGAATTGTCGGATAACCGATTTTTTCGCTCTCATTCTCCAGTGATCCTCTTTGGTTATTTGATTTATTTCCTCCAGTCGTTTTAATGTGGTGTTCATTTTGTTTTCCAGTTTTGCGGTGGGGTCCATATCGATCCTGTTGTAGGTGATTGTGTCTTCGAGTAGTTCTTTGGCCCCTTGAATGTAGGTGGTTTTGTCCATGACCACAGTAGTTCGTCCTTTATCTGCTGGGAGAATGACGAGTATTTTGTCCATCTTCAGTGTTTTGAGTGCTTTGTCCTCGCGGTTCGATAGCACGTTTGCTTCTCCCTTTCGCATCAGAGCTCGGACGGTTGTTTGTCGGATGGGTTGTTTCGCATCTTCAGGTATCGTGGACGATTTGATAGTTTGTTCCAGTTCTGCCAAGTATTCCTTTTTCGTTGCATTTCTGACGTTGAAGCTAAGTCCTTTAATGAGGATTCGTTTTTCATCCTGTGTGATCACGCGATTGGAGAGATTCCGGACCCAGTTTTCATTTTCGTCGATTAGCTCATGATCATCCAACTTGTGGAGCTTTCTTGAGAGTGCTAGTTTTCTTTTTCTTTTAACATTTTTGACACGTCGACTTACTGCATCCTCCAGCTGTTCCATCTGTCGTTCGCTCAGTATAGTTCGACAGTTCTGCTGTTCTTCTTGTATAACCTCCTTGTACTTAGTAAGACGTCTGTCAGCGTCCGAGATCATCATGCGCACCATGCGTCTTCTGAATTGTCGTGAGATCCTCCAGTCCCCCGGGTGATTGATCGGTGGTCTGTGGTACGTGGAAGTAAATTGCGTCGTAGGCATTCTTGAAGGAAAAATAGCTGCTCGTGAGTGGAGACAGGCGAAAGTCTCCCATCGGCGAGATGCATTTAGCGTTGTACGCCCGAAAACTGTTGACGAAGTATTGAAAATCGGTTCTCGTAGCTCCGGTGGACAGAATTCTATTTCGCCTGTTCGCCAAGCTTGGCAATTTGTTTGCAAACGCTTCATCACCAGCCGAGGTGACATCATCAGCGTTCGTGAAGTGGCAGT